TTCCCTCTCCATTAGGTCAATGAACTTTCTTTCCAGAAGGGTTCCTTCCCCACCAGCTACCAGTCTGTTCTCTTTTGACAAGCCAAGATGCTATGTCCAACATTAATTCTTTCAATTCTTTCAAGTTGGTGAGAGAGATAGGCCAAAATTTTTAGCAATGAAATTTCAGAGTAAGATAGAAGGTGACAAAGAGAATAAATCAAAAGACTAAGTGGAATGATTAAAAAAAAAGTCTTAACAATGTAGTGTTTGTCAGAGTTAATGATTTCTCTACAGTTAATCACACTCATTTTTTGCCTTATGGACTTGCGCTGAAGGAACCAGGTTTCTGAGCCTTGAAGCACTCAGATTAACTAGCCACCCAAGTGCCCCCGCTGAGCTGAACAGGCCAGCTCACTCATGTAAAGCTAACCTCGCATACTGTAATCTTGGCGGGATCTTAACAATTCCACTAAAATTACTTAAAGGGATGCTACGTCTTTCCCTCTTTGCTCCAGTTTCCCCTGTGGTGATGGAAAGCATTGTTGTGTTTCTTCCCTCCATTATTTATACAATAGTCTTTCTATTTCATGTAATCCATAAAAAGTGGGGGCAAAGAGAAACTGCAAGGCAAATGTCTCTTCTGATTATGTTTCCCATGTGCCATTACAGCTGCTCATAATGCAGTGCAATTTGCTCAAACAGACCCTCATAATCACATCCCTGAAATTCATAAACATGCAATACTATATCTCAAAGAGGCCACTGGTGGTTATTAGCAAGTGCCCTCTCAAACATGCATATTTAATTATGTTTACTCTTTTAACTACAGGGGATGTCATATAGCATAGTCTGAAAAACAAAGAAAGCTTGAAATGTCATGTACCAGGTGAAAATATCCCATCGCCACAGCCCCCTGGCCAGCCAACCATCTCTCTCATTTTCCTTAGTGTGACATATTCCAAAAGTACAAACACTGGAGCAATTTCATAGGTGAACCTGAAATGTAGTAATGTCCATATTTAATGCTTTCATCTACAACACTAACACATCTTTTTCCAATATTACATTACATTATAGCCACAATATAGTCTATCTTGCACTGGGTAGAATTCTGTTTTACAATACTTTGATAATCTTCCTTCTGATTTGACAACAAATGTCTAGAAGGAGAAATATTGAGGGTGCTTGAGACTCCATTTCCACCCATTTCAGTGAAACAAATCTTGCCCATCTCTTCCAGGCTCAAGGCTCTGCCCTATATTCAAGAGCTGCTGGGCAGAGCCAGACCTTCGCCTTGCAAAAACCTGTGTGTGTGTCTAGAAGCGTACGTGTCAGCAGTCCTGCTCATGATGACAAGACTGTGCATGAAGTTAAGCAAGTTTACAAAAATGCCTCCTCATCCCAAAGTGAAAAAACCCCCACACTTTAAATTCTGCAGCTCTTTCTTACAGAAAGCAATGGCTTCAACCACTCTGAGTATGGATTGTACATAACCCCTCTACAGGAATGCAGCTGTTCACTTCGAACAGTTTTCATTTTACATATTTATGCATACAAAATGCTAAAATATTTTTTCTATATATTTTTGGGGGGTAGCAAAACCGACATCATATTAGTATGATGAAATTTTATAGAAGACATAGGACAATGTTGAAAGTCTTCACATAAATAGCTGTAGTAACCATTTAAAAAGCAGACAATCGTTTTTCCAGCAACCTTAACATAAAAGTACTCTTTCTTTCATTCAGCTACAGCAGCTAGTATTTTAGAGTATAGCTGTAAAATTATACTAAATATTATTACGTAAAAAAATCTGCTACTTACATATTAGTATTTGCTGCTGATGTCAGCCAGTCTGCTGCCAATCCAACCATGTCCAATCCAGTTGAAAGTTGATTAAAATATCTAGGGTGCCCTGCATAAGATGGAAAATGTTATCAAAAGGCCGATGACTCTGAATGAAACTATTCAGTGCTGAACAGTATATTTACCTCCGGATTTCTATAGGGAAGGAAGCGCTTTCAAGGTATGAAACAAAGCAAACACCAATAAATATGTTTCTTGGAAGAGGCAGGATTTCTCTTCTTTCTCATTCCCGCCTCAGTAAAATCAGAGAAATTACACTGAATACAGAATAATGAATTCCAACATTCCCTATTATCGTCTCAATATGCCTTGAAAATTAGCACATCACTGCCTCACAAAAATAGCTGTTTGCTCCCGTTAGTGTGTCACGTGTTGTCACTAGATGCGGTTTTGCCTGGCTAGGTTTGAAAGGCACGCACGAGACACCATCTGAAGAGCTTGCCAGTACATATAACATCAGTGATGAATGGCTAATGATTATAATAGGCAGGGCAAAATGAGAAAATGGAACATTTTGGTGACTGCTTTGCACGTGACTCAATGGCTGATGATTGTATGAAGATGGCAGGGAAGGTGACGGTCCTTGTCATTTCTTCCCTGTCACAGTGCAATTATAAATAGCCTGGCTGCTCACAATTGTGATTTTAAACAAACCCCATGAAAACCAGCACTGCTGCTCCAGCAGAATGATGCATAAGAATATACTCAATGAGCTGATAGTCCATGTACCTGGTTAATCTAATTGGCTCTTGATTTTTTCTTGGAGATTTTTCTTAAACATTCTTAAAACAATTCTTAAAAATATGCCTAGAGCCAATAAACCCAGGAACCATTAAAACTCCATTTTTACTAGCTGCTCCCCGCAAGCCCCTGTGAAGTGGCATAATTACCCGTACAAATCGCGGATGGTTCACAATTACTTAAATGCCATCCGACTCAAAGGAAGGCAGCCTCTGCTTGGAAAACACCTGTCCTGACCCACAGATGACGTACTGTTATTGCCATCACAGAAAACAAAAGATAGAGCGAGATGATTGAGGAAATGCACACCCAGCACTGAGAGAAAACTTATCTTTGGTCTCCGGTGGCCTCTTATCAGGCACGGACACATGGCTGGCAGAACAGCACCGGGAATTGCTCCCCAGCTCCCACCTTGCAGCACACAAAGGCAGAGTCATTGGGCTGTGCGGGCAGACCAGAGCAGGGGATAAGGGTTACAGGCAAAATCCAGCCCCTTCTGCCCTTAACCTGAGATGAGCCCCATGCCGCTGCCATCCAACCTGACTGCCTTTTGCACTGAGCCCTCCCCACCGGAGATAGGAACTGCCACCTTCCCCTGGTCCACGCTGCCCAGGACAGGCGGTCAAAGCCCCCCAGGCACCGAGGGACGCTGCCGAAATCCAGCAGGATGAACAGGGTCCGGCCCCTGCCCTGCGTGCTCTCGCGTGGGTTAGGTGGGCCTGGGGCACACGGGCACCCACCACCACCACCAAAGCCACGGTGACCCCGCAGCAGGGGCTCTGCCTGCAGAGGACTGCTGCTCCTCTGACGATGGGATTTTGAGAGAGATTTCAGTATTTATAGCTCGGGTTCAACCTCACAGCCAGGCTCCAAGTGGGTTCCCAAATTCCACCAGAAAGCAACAGAAAATTAGGATCTGAAAGTCTTCCATGAATCTGGGCCACAGGAAGGCTCAAAGAGGCCAGAAAAACTCCGGCTTTGGAAATAAATCCACACTGAAAAGCTGGGGAATAGCAGAATTCGTATTTCCAGCTGCAGTGTCTCGGCGGCTCTCTGTCACCCCCATACTCAGCCCCAGGCAACAGCCCTGTTGTCAATTCTTGTTTCTTCATGGAAATCTCACGGCACACCTCCTGCTTTGGGTACTGCCATAGGAACAGGGCCGGCTGCACAGGGGGGTCGGGGCAGCCATACCCTGGAGCGAGCGAGGTGGGGGGAGCAGCGCTGTGCTCCTACAGAGATGTTAGTCCAGGGAGAGCAGGAGCTGCCGCTGCTGGCAGGGGTGCTGGCAGAACCCGCAGCACCTACACCTGTAACGCGGCCCCCTCCGCTCAGTGCCCTTCCCTTCTGCGGCATGGCTTCAACATGCAACGGCAGAGAAGACAGCGCCCCAATCTGACCCCAACTTCAGCCACAAGGGTTCATCCATCCTTCATACATGCGCAAGCTCTCTTCCCTCTGCTAGATGGCCATGGAAAATTGTGGTTTTGCTTAATATAGGGGCTTCACTGGCCAGGTAAGAAGCGTTTGTGAGAGATGTTCAAAAATCACTACCCCGGTGCCCTCTGCCTGAAACGCACAACCTTTGCTGTGGTTATCACCAAACAAAGAGGTGACTGGAAAAGAGACTGACAGGGTGCAGGAAGAGGGGGAGATGTGAAAATAGATTACTGCTTACTGGGTGGTTTAGTAATACACAATGTATTTACACATATCCTAGAGTAAATCGGGAGATGATGGGCAAGAACTGGGGCTGAGGCATTGAGACAGCCAGGGCCAGGCTTTCCCTGCCGAGGACGTGCCTTTGCCCCACACACCCTCCTCTCAAACATGCTCCTGCCTGCACTTGGTTTTAGGCACGGACATCCCCTAGCACGAACATGCAGCCTCCGCAGCCTTGACAGGGAAGCGACAAGGAGGGCCAGGGCAAAGCCAGACAGCACGGATAAAGGCACGGCTGGTGGTCCTGGGTTTGGCCTTGCTCACAGCCCCACCGTGCTCACCGCCTACTACCAACATCAAGGCTCGCCAGGGAGCAAGGCTGGACCAGTGCCAGCTCCTCACACCCTTCCTGGTGTTTCCAAGTCATTTTTGAACACTCACATTTCAATTCCCATGGGGAGCATTGCACAGGAACAAAATTTCACGTCCATCTTTCGCTGCACTTGGGCATCCAGCTGTGAGGCTAATTTAAGCAATACCATTTATTTTCCAATCAGCCTCCCAGGCCCCTGCAGCCAAAGGCAGCCCAGGCCCGCCCCCAGCCCAGGAGGGGCCGTGTCCGAAGGGCTTCTGCAGCGGGAGCAGAGGCAGACCCCCCCCCACCAGAAACCTCTCTGCATTGTCCTTCCTCTGAGGGTAATTCATGTATTTCACTCCGAAGCACACGCCGAAGGGCTCCGGGTGGAAACCCCGTGCGTTTCGTGAGCCCCCCAGGATGCTGAAGAGCAGTGGCAGGCCCCCACCCCCCCGGCGGCCCCCACACCGC